GGTTTTAAGCTCACTCTGAATCCAGGACATTTCAGTTTCCTGTGCTCTGCCAGTGAGGATGTGTACCAGAAGCTGGAGGGGAGCAGAGCCAGGACAGCAGACCCAAACTGTCTGAAGGGATAATCCATACCAGAGAACATCATGTCCAGTATATAAATGGGGAAGGAGTTGGCTGTGAGGGGCCAGTGGCTGCAGAGGGACAGGCTGGGCACAGTCCCACAGCTGGTGAGCAATTATGTTGTGCATCACTTGTTTCTCTTGGGTTTCATTTCTCTCTCTCTTTTTCATTACAATTATTATTATTCGTGTCTAATTACTACCTTTTATATTTTGTTTCAATTATTAAATTGTTCCTATCTCAACCCAAAATGTTTACCTTTCCTTTCCATTTTTTTCCTCACTGAAGCAGGGGCGAGGGGAGTGATCAAGCACCTGTGTGGGACTTAATTGCCAGCTAGGGTTAAACCACAACAGTGGTTCAGTCCTAAACATCTAACTTGGTTGTAGACTGCAGTGAGACAGGAGAAAAGTACAGCACACCAGAACCCTGAAGCTGGAGAGCAGGAGGATTGCTGTCAGAAATTACACCAAATTCCAAAGGCCCAACTGACCAAACTTTATTGTAACCACAGAGTTGCTATGGAAAGCTGTGAACAAAAGAATTTAGTTGTGCTGGTATGTGCGTGGCATATGCATGGCAATAGGATTTGACTGTATGAAAAATAATTCCCAGTCCTGTAAAGATGTTCTTACATGCCTAATATAGCTTTGATATGTAATAATTATAAATAAAATGCATAATAAGCTACTAGAATTAAACATAGTAAGTATTAAATCACATAATGAGGCTGTAAATAGAACTGGTCTGAATTAAAAAAAACATAGAAACAAGTCTGTAAAGACAAAAGTGACAGCAAACTATTTCCAGACACATCTGGACACAGCTCCAGCTTTTATCGTTTTTTTATTTTAAAAAGAACAGAGAATGCAAATATACACAAAGATAAACTCCCAATATCTTGTTTGAAGAACTAGATCAGAACTTCCAGGATTTTCTGTAGATGGAACACAACTTCGTAGCGCTTCCACCTTCTGCTTTCCTCGACTTCACAAGAGAGAGCAATGGAACAGTAAGTTTGCTTTCCTGGAAATCTTTCTTATGGGGTAAGGAAATGTGAGATTTTTCATCAGTGATTTTTGTCTGAAAGAAGTCACCTGATCTTCAAGGAATCTTTAAAAATTAAAAAACACATCCATACACAAAGATATGTGTGTATCTGCTGATGGAGAAGGGTGACATGATGAACAATGTGCAAGACCACCTGAACTCTGCTGTTAATTTCTTCACATAAACCTGTATGGGAGTAGATGACTCATCCTGCAAAGTACAGACTCATTGGTTTCAAATACTTCCTTTGGAACTTCCTTGCCTGGACACTGGGGGCTTGAAGGTATTTATTTCTGTATGAGTCAGAAGTTCTGAATAATGTTTCTACTTAATCGACCACAGAAGTAGGAGACAAAGCTCCAGAAAATTTTTTGCAGAGTCAGAAATTAAATGATTGTCAGAAAAGGGAAAAGAGAAAAAAAGAAAGAAAATAAGGTATATAGATAGCAGGATGCACAGACTTCATAGAGATGGAAAAGTCATAGCTTTGGTTAGTCAGTAAATGAACATCCACCAAATCCTAGAATTTGTTGAAAATTGTAACTGAAAATTAATATATAAATGGAGGTGGAAACAATGCTCTCAGTGAAGAGTAGAAAGGTAACACATGGTAAATTCACTGAGTATAGGAAGTATCAACCAAAGATGGGAATGCACTTAGGAAGTTTTGTAGATGTTTAAACAAATATTCAGTTCATGCCAAATGAAAAATCACAGACCTTGAGACATCTAGTTTAGCCCTTTTTCCAAGGGAGGACCCACTGTTCTCACAATATTCCTGGCCAGTACTTGTCAATCCATTCTAAGCGTACTCTGCAGACGGAAGTCAAACTTTTTCATGGGCTGTTTCACTTTTCTCACTAAAAGAACTATTCACCCATTATTACTCCTCGTATCCTGTCACTAAAGGAATTTACTCTCTCCTCTGTGCAACCACCTTAAAATAACTCAAACACTATTTTCATCTCTCACCATGAGTTCCTTCAGTCTTTTTTCACAGATCACAATTTCTAGACACAGAGTGTCAATAAGCATGAAGTCACCACTGAAGGGGCAGAGGGATCTTAGATCTTTTTCAGATGAGCTCTAAGAGCACTGTGCCTGGGTGCTGGCTTTTGTCTATTTGACAGCTTCAGGAATTCTGAGTCTCTTTTTTTTTTTTTCTTGGAAACTGTCTCTCTTTTCTTTCTAAAAGAATCCCAGATTCCCTACAAGATGCCCTGAGTAATATTGTTCAGTTCAAACCATGTCTAGAGAGTGAAAAACAGCATCAACATCAGGTTTATAAGCTGAGAATAGGGAGACTTCCTGATTAGTATAGGAAGTCTCTTCAAGAAGAAATATGAGAGTGTGTATCTGCCTACTTTGCTAGGGGAAGAAAGGTCAGTTGGTAGTGAAGTGCAGCAAAGTATTGATGCTGTGAGATATGGAACTAAAAAAGGAAATTTTACCTCATTATGTAAGGCAAATTTTGTTGCCAGTCCTCATAATATGTGCATAATTCCATTCTGCAAAAAGCTTCCTAATAACTGGCTTGTGAGGATAAGATCCATAGTGAGCAAGGTACAAAGGTGAAAAGCAACATTGCTGCATGGGCTAATTATCAATAAGGTTGTAAAATTGGATTCTAGTCTTCAGAAAAAAATTTACAGCCAAGATGGGAGTTTTAGGTTACCAATCGATTTAAAATAAGGGTTCACTTTCCAGCTTTACTGCAGAGTGCTGCTCTGATTTTAAGGTGAATACACTATTTCTATGCCTTAGTTTTCCATTTGTGTCACACTCACTGAGTGCCTCCAGTTTTAGTTCGGTACTCCAAAAATCTCTTTTAATCAGTTATCATTTACATTAAATACAATATTAAATGAAAAGCCTACCTAATATAAAAATGAAATATTAATTTTTGGAAACTAGATGTAAAATTAAACTTTGCAGTGTGCATCATCCCAACCAGCTGTTTCATTATGCTAATTTGTAACACATCTGTCCTTCCTGGTGGACATATGTATGAATGGTACTAAATAGGTAAGTCACTGGTCAAACAGTTATCAAATTTACCCCTTTCAGGTCCAAAGCCACATCACAGCAATCTCCACTGTTAGCAGGAAAGTGTGTGATTTCTTTCTATACTGCTGGATGGTAGATGTCAGCCCTACATGTACAACCACTCCTACAAGTTACATAGTGTTACTCTGTGGTTTTGGTGTCCAGGCTTCCCAGCAGGTCCATAAGAAAGTGCATCATGGCTAATTGTAGGTTGTCACAAAACAGAACTAATTTCTGAATAATTCGATTTTTGATCTTAACATTGCAACTGAGACCATTTCCCAATATGAGACAGAGCAAAAAAATACAGGTAGCATTGACCTCTAATTGCATTAATATTGGACTTAAGTAATTTCTTACAATGAAGCATTCTTGAGCTTCGTCAGAATGAGCTCTAATCTCTCTAGCACAAATTTTTTAAAAAAGGCTTCTTACCCTGTACTGTAGAAAAGAAGCTACACTGCCATCTCCCGCCTGCTTGCTGTCATGCACGCACGTACTAGGTTTGTAATGCAGAGCAATCGCAGGGAAGGTGCATTTTTCTGTTAGCAGGTAACTGAGGCAGTAACATTTTCTAATACTCAGGGATAACGTGTCTGCAGTTTTCACAGGCTGGGGGGTTTTCACAAGTGAACTTTTTCCTGGGCATAGAAAAGGACTTCACTTATTTGTCCAGGGTTTCTAATATATCACATTCCAGCCAGAAAATCTTCTGACAAGTGAACAAGACTTAATTGTTTTTCTTCTGATAATATTGTAGCTAGACATTCTAGTCTCTACTTTACTCCAGACTCTGAGACTGAGTCACCCTGATAATTGGTAACCTTTCCCCAATAACGAGTGTGGTAACACTGATGCATGCATGGGTGTCTGTCTTTACGTGAGACCCTAAACGAGATGAGCAGGTGTATCCTAACTAATAGAGAGTTAGAATCACAATAGTATCAGTGTGTTGGTTTATTGCTCATCAGTAGCTGGGAGGGGACAGTTTATGCTTCTGAGAATATTCATAGTCATTACAATGCCTTGGGCAGGGTCCCTTTCAGTCAGTTGTGTGCTCACTGGACTTGCTCTGCTATGCCAATATATTGTGGACACCATAGACGAAACCTGGTCCTGCTTAGTGGTTCAATTCTGTTACTGACATCACCACTAACTTGATCAAGCATTGCTGTGGACTCAGCTTGTTGCCACTACTGTTGCCAGTTCAACCCAGTGATGTCCATCCCACAAATTGCTACATGCTGGGCTCATAAATGCCAGAGGACACTTTTGCTTCTGGCTTAGAATAAAGCTAGAAAAGAGTCTAGGACAGAGACCACTACTAGATCATTCTGGAAAGCTTCCCAAACCAGAATCTACTATAAATCATACAGAATGATCCAAGTGCTGTTGGTCATTTGAATTTCTTTCTTGGACACTGTCACATTCAATACACAAAATATGGTATGGTGGGTAAGGCACATAACAGTGAGTATAAATGATGGTTGGCTAAGATCTATTTTCCCTTCCTGCAGAATCACAAAGTTTCATTATTCCCACTGTTCTCTCTTTTGGAGGCATATTTGTTGTTAAGAACTCATTAAGAACTATTGAAGACATTATCAAGTACTGAAGAACAGTCTCTGTCACTTACTAGACCACAGGTCCAGAGGGATAAAAAGGTAAAATAAATTCCTATAAACCATTTTTATTGGTGAGATCTCAGTTCATGCTCAGTTAATTGGCCTCTTTTGCAGGATTTAACCTGGTGTCATAAGAACCTTGAAATAAATCTCTTAGCTCTGATTAGAGATGAAAGAGAGATTAGCACAGGCAGGACAGTTGAAATCTTTTTGCACATCCCCTTTGGTGAGCCAGTGTGAAGACAGAACAGCTACAGAGACAACAGGAAATCAGTATTTGAGTCATTCTCAGGATGTCTGATCCAGGTATTTTTTCCCTTGTATTCGGCAAGTTACCAGTTTCAAGATCCTGTTCAATCCTCTGAAGCAGGTTAGTGGTTTCTTTTAAAATGTCACACATCAGAATGTGTGTTTAGCTAAAATGGCAGATTTTAGCAAAAGCAGTAAGATCAGACGTGGCTTATTTATGACAAAATTGCATGCCAAATTTCTTTAGACAAATTGTATCTAATAAGTAAATGTTATAAACAAATAACTGTGCTGTATCTTGTTCTATGTAGTTAGGGAAAACTGATACCAAAGAAACAGATAGGTGGCATCTTGGAAGCAAAACGTACTGTATGGTGATGGAAGCTGTGTTTAAAGTGAGTTAGACAAGGAAAGATTCAGAACAGTATCAATATTATGGGAAAGGTTTCCACATTTATTTGTCTTCTTCTGTTGAAAGAAATATTTCTTCCTTTATGGAATAAAATCCAGTTTGCTCTCCCATAGCCAGGGAGAAAATGTCTGTGTGTATATGTGTCATAACTGGAGAGGCTCATGTGCAGTGGTTTCTAAAACCTTTGATAGAGGTGTTAGTTCCACTGAACTGCTGGGAGCATTTGTGGCTTTACAGTAGCCTACTGACAAATATAACTTGGAGAAGAACAGATACATGTTGCAGAGCAGAACTGACACTTTTAGTTCATAATTGCACTTCAGTTCTTTCAGCCAGAAGAACTTCCTTCATGGTGCTCAAGGAATGATACTACATAGCTTTCTGTGTGTTGTAATACATGTTATGCTAATATATGTATTCAAGACTACATTAAACAGGGAAAGAACAGTGTAATGGTGTATTTACAAAATTCATTATGATGAGAAGAGAGTCTTCTCATCTGAAATAAATTCAGTAAAGTGTTAGTATAGGTAAAAATAATCTCAAGATAAATAGATGCCGAGAACAAGGAACAGAATAGATGACTTGGTCTTCTGTCCCAGACTGAATGCACTCAAGATTTCATGAGAAGCACAGCGTGTCCCAAAGGTCCTTTGTGCAATTCCAGGTTTGCTATATCAGTGACAGCCAGGGTCAGCCAACGAGTGGTCACTGCACCACAGCAACCAGGCATTCCATCCCTTTCCTCTGGCACTGGGGCTCATATGAAATGGCAGAATTTATGCTGCTGGAGGACTGTGGTGTGGGCACCTCTACTAGATGAATGTGAATGTTCCATGAAATCTGATCTTACAACAATACTAAAATTGCACCAAGGAAGCTGGAAATACCGTATGAGAATTACTAGAGGCAAGAAATCACTAGAAGTGTTTCTCTTGCACAGATTTATTTTTCCTTTTTCAACTTTAGGCATCTGAAAATGTGGGAGGGAGCTATGTCAGAATAGCTGCATGAGAGTGAATGTATCCCTGCTGATGGAATTCAGCTTAGAATTTCTTTATGGCTAGAATAGGACAGAAAGTCTAAATTTACATCTTCCAAGAACAACAATGCCTCTTGAGTAGATGAATTTTACATTAAAGGTTGAACTGTTTACAACTTTTGTTCAAATCTTAGAGCAAACTATGTATGGCAAGTAATGTGTTCCCAGTAACACTGTAGCTATATATATGCCTAACAGTTTAGAGGCATTTTGCAAATATGTCCATGTATTTCAGAGAAAGGCTCAGTGAGTGGTGCATTCATGCTGCTGGCCAGCGAGCATGAACTGTGTAAGAGCAGCTAGGAGATTTCACAACAGATTCTCTCTTGTGAGCTTGGAGACCTGAGTATCGGGGTAAATGTATCTATTTGCAGCCATCATCTGCAGCTATTTAAGATCAAGTCATGAACTGCTTAACTGGCAATCAAAGACACTGTCTCCAGGCTTAGCAAGCAGGCTGTCAGCTGAATTTGTGTGGAGGCTTAATTCTGTGCCAGCACAGCATGATCCTTTCAAATGAGGTCTGATGTAGAAGAATGGTGTGAAGAAAGTGTTGCAATTTTATAAATTACCATGTCTCTGGACTTGCTTGTACAGAGGTGTCTATCATTGACATGATTATCACAATATGATCACAAACAATATTCAGCTATAAATGATAATCAGCTTTAACAATCATTGAAATTAGGACCCTGTTTTTAAAGTCAGAAAACTACTGGCTCCAAAGAAAAGACTTCATATATCTTGTGTGTGTTGAGGAAAGGCAGTCAAAGAGCATTGCAAAAAGGGTAAAAGTTCATGGTTTGATCCTGAGGTACTGCAGCATACTTCTACATCCACATCACATCCACATTGTCTCCAGCTCTAACAGGTTTTCGATCTTGGATGTTATTAGTTGCTTTCTGCCTGTGAGTGTGATATAATAGGAGAGGTGGAAAGGGGGAGTTACTAGTGTTGCAGAGAAGCAAGGTTAAAAGTGCTGGGAAGGATGGTATCCTTTCTTAGATCCACTAATAGCTGGGGAAAAGAAGACAGACCTTGAAATACTGAAGTCTTTCATCAGCTGTGAAACTCTGAAATATCAAATTCGAAACTCATGAGGTCAGGGGGAGAGTCTCTCTGAATATATTTTATGCCCATCATTGTGGTCCTTGGAGAGAAAAAGAAGGAGTCTGCAGATCACATGGGAAAGTTATTAAAGGACTGTTGATAACATAAGAGTAGGTGTAACAAAACCAAACTAATAAAATATACAAAACATAAATTACTGAACACATGATTAGTTTTCTGTCATTTCTTAAACCGTTCCCCTTCAAAGAAATATTGTGGTGCCCCGTGGGCTGCAAAGACTTTTCCAGATGGGAGAATGGAAGCAATTCCAATGGGTGGTGAACCCAAGGTTATTGCAGAAAGCACAACCAGGAATGAGTAGAATCTTGGGGACTTGAAATAAAAAACAATCTATGGTTGGTGGTAGGAGGGTTGGATAAAGGTGTGATTGCCACAGTTCTCAGCAGAAAGAGAAAGAACAATCAACTTTAGCTGCAGGAGCAGAGGTTAAGATAGTAAGAGGGATTCTCTAAGGATTAAATAGGACTTATTTAATAAAACATGCAATTCCAAAAACTGAGGGTTTTTCAGAAAGGAAGGTCAATCAGGTAGAGAAAAAAACAGAACATCTTAAGCTGCTGACTTTTTTTGCAAGGTGTGAAGATGGTCTGCTTTATTCTGTAGGGTGATTTATTACTTCACATAAAATGTTAGTGCTCCTATGCCAGATTAGGTGGAAAAATGCAGAGGAGGATGTTCACTAAAAGTATAACTTAAAAGTTAATAACAATTTGATAATATTTTCTAGAAAACTAGAATAGTCATCAATAGTTTAACCAATTGTAAAACGCTTTGTCTCTGTGGATAACCACAGTAATTTCCCCCTGCAGTTTTTTGCCAGAGCGATCACATCTTAGTAGTCCAAGTGTAGGAATAATATTTGATTTTTGCTAGCAAAATGATGTTTTACTGCACATAACCAATGAAATTACTAAAAATACCCATAGGATACCGTGTTTCTGGTGTTATCTTCACTTTTGTTTTCTACAGGGAAAAGCTTTATGTGGTTACACTGTATATATCTGCTTGTCCAACTTTTCAATGCAAACCTGACCATAACACAGTAATCTGAGAATAAAAAATACCTACAATTGTCACAAAACTACAGGGAATGAGTAGAAGGGAAAGACAATGTGAGTCTTCTGGAGGGAAAGGCAGCTGAGCAGCTCACTTCTAGACATCAGATCTGCACAGAAAATTGCTCTTGACAAAAATCCATAGGAATCAAGAGTCATTGGTTGGACTGTTTTTTAACTTGTTTTTAATTGCTCTAGTTGGTCCTTAGAATTTTTGTTTTAAGAGATTCACAGTGTATGAAATTTAAGCAATAAATTTCACTGGGGCACTCCCTTGGCAGGACTCCGAGTGCGTGAAGCCGCACAGGAAGCTCTGTGTAGTCTCTATAAATACCTTGTCAAACAGGCAGTAATCTCTCTCTCTCTCTTCTTCAGATTTCTACTGCATGCCTTGGATACATGCTCCTAATCAGCTTACTAGCTTCCCTTGACCTACGTTTCTTTTCCTAATGCTGATCTGACTATGGCTGTCCTAAGAGTAAAATTCACCAAAACTAAGAGGGACAAGTTGGCTCAGATCTTATGGATCCTCAACTGGGTTTCCGTAGTGAGTGGCATCATTCTCTTCAGTCTTGGCCTCTTTCTGAAAATAGAGATCAAGAAGCGCAATGAAGTGATGGCAAAAGGGAACATTAACTCTGTCCCCAACATGCTGATCTCTGTAGGGGTCATAGCCTGTATCATCAACTTTCTGGGTGGCAAAATCTGCTATGACTGCTCAGATGCCAACAAGTTCTCTCGCTGGAAACTGGTTATGCTGCCATACATTGTATGTACCTTCTGTTTTACCTTCTGCATCCTGGTGGGTGCTCTCATGTGCTATACCATGAGGAACGAGCTGGAAGAGTCTCTCTACCTGGGACTGAGGGATGCCATTAAGTTCTATAAGGACACAGACATACCTGGACGATGTTTCTTAAAGAAAACTGTGGATTTGTTACAAATTGGATTCCATTGCTGTGGAAACAATGGCTTTAGAGACTGGTTTGAAATTCAGTGGGTATCTGCTCGTTACCTGAATATGGCTTCAAAGGAGGTTCTGGAGTAAGTATTTACTAGTCATAATGAAAAATTCTAGGAGAAAAATTCATTCAAGGAGGAAGAGTCTTTTTACTGGACCTTTGTATCTTAATTAAAACAAAAACAATAGCAGAATGACCATGTTACTCACAAAATGTGCTAACTACATGCACAATCAAAAGTTGCCTTTTGCTAATGTTTTTTGGATGCTAAGCAAAGCAAAGATATATGTTTACTTCTTTAATGTGACAGATTAGCTACCTCGAAATTTTTATTTCAGTCATAGCAAGCTGACAGTGAAAAGAAAAAAAGATTGTACTATCAATATATTGCACAGTCAGTCCTAAACACTGGCAGTCATTTCTCCTTTGAGGTATTAGACTTTGCAAACCCAAGTTCAAATCTGCATGTTTACATGTGAGAAACTGCCAAACACCACCTACACTGCATAAAAAAAGGAGAAGAAAAACTCTTGGAATTTTCTGGTGGTGGTACTTCACATGATGTAGCAATTGTGAAATTATATGCACAAAAAGAAGTCTGGTGATGCTTACAGACAATAGAAAAGGTAACAATTACAAATTTTTAGAATTAGACAATCCAATATGTAGTAATTCTTCTAAAGCTGGAAAAAGTCTTCACTGACGAAAGTGTAGTAGCTTTGTACTCTGTGGAAAGATAAAACACAAAGGGCTTGACTGGCATTTGTCAAGTGCTTTGTTTCACTGAACTCAAAAATTGGTGACAATAAAGGCAGGGGAAGGGAGGCCAAAAATATTTTTTAAACAGAATTTGGAGCTTATAACCGCCATCATAGCAAAATGTGTATGCAGAGTTGTAAATATACCAGAGGGCAGGGCTCAGGAGAACACAGACAAGAAGGGCATCAGCATGCATAAAGCAGTTGTCCATGGAAATACAGCAAGCTCTGCAGTTGTTCTCAAGAGAGAACTTACAAAGTATCATGCAGAACTGACTGACTCAGAGGTATTTTAAATCCATCAATGCTTCTACACTGGAAAGTGATATGACAACAAAGATGGTCCACAGGAACCTAAGAGCAGTATCTCATTGTGAGGTCAAAACTAAAAATATACTGCCTTTCATTTCTGTGAGACATGCAGAAGCAGTAATGTCTTACCCAGGGTCTTAGCTAAGCTCTGTTTTCTTCTGCAGGGTCACATGTGTTCCACCATTATTTTGAAAATACACCATCAATTTTTGCTCCATTTAGGCAGAAGGTGCCAGTTAAATGTATATTGGAGAACTAATTTCATAATTTCTTTTACTGTGTATAAAATGGTTAATTACATCTTGATTGCTAGAATACAAGTTGGTGCTGTATAACCAAATCATGCCATGGTTCCCAAAAATCTGGTAGTGATACCACAATGTGACAAGAATGGAGAGAGTTAATGGGAATGGTAGAAAGGCAAGTTACATTGTACAAAGTACAATCCTGTCATTGCTCTGGTGGGGTAAAACTCTTATTTTTTTAGTCTCAATAGCAAATCTTTTCTTTACAATACCGTAACAACATTGAATTGCAACAACAAATAGCAGTGAATGTCTTACTCTCTCAGCTCTGTTACTGAGGCCTTCCCTTCTAACAGCACCAAGATACATTGTTCTTTAATTTGCCATTGGCAGAGGCAACACAAGGCAGGAGGACATAGCCCAAGTCTGGAAACTGCTACTGTTGGCAACAAAAAGAAGATTGCTCTTTATAACATATGGCAGGAAGGGAAAAAATAGTTAATAGCTTGGGATCAAAACAAAAGCTTCAGACCCAGTTTCAGAGCTTGTATTTTGACCATTTTAGATGCTGTACCATGTTTGTTGGGTCATTCTATAGATATGATGCCCTGAAATATTGGGATTGGTCTCTTCTCGCAGGCAACCAGCAGTAGGACAAGAGGGCACAGACTCAAGCTCTGCCAGGGGAGGTTTAGGTTGGATATTAGGAAGAGATTTTTTACAGAGAGAGTAGTCAGACATTGGAATGTGCTGCCCGGGGAGGAGGTGAATTCACCATCCATGGAGGTTTTCAAGATGAGACTGGATGTGGCACTTAGTGCCATGGTCTAGTAACCACGGTAGGGTTGGACTCGATGATCCTTGAGGTCTCTTCCAACCCAGCTGGTTCTATGATTCTATGAAATACTGAGAGCATTTTCCTGGCCCAGGTTAAAGCTTCCCTTTCACAATGTCCCAGTCTTCTCTCCTCCCTCTGCAGTTTTTCTTTTCTCCTCCCACATGCAAGTCTTCTGTTTTGTGCCTCTCTGGCTCCCTTCTCTTCCAGTGCATGGTTTTGCCCATGCCCAGGACATGGCTCGTACACTTCAGCATAGTTTCAGTGAATTATTTGGGTTCTTTTGCATTGTTTTCATTCTGTTGCTGTTACCAGGAATATAATGGCTGCAAAGTGAAAAGCTAGACTTGAAAATGGAGAGGAACCCATGCCTGTCTCATGCCTAGGTAGGAAATAGCAGATGAACTTCCTGAGTTACTTGGAAAGATCTTTGAGGAATATGTTTTTGAGCAAATGTTAAGCAAAACACACCATCATCCTAAAAAAAAAGGGCGGGGAATAAAAGAGAAAAAAGAAAAGGGAAGTGGAGAGAAAGAACAGGAGAGTGAAAAGGGCAGAAAATAGAAGAGAAAGAAAATAGAAGAGGAAGGAGGTTGTATAGGTTGTATATAGCAGGCTCACAGCAATAAAATAAAGGCAAATATTCTGCCATCACAGCACTGCCACAAATACTGAGCTTTCTAGCAGCTTTTTGTTCTTTTGAAGGTTATATTTAGCCCCAAAATGCCAGAAAAACACTGCTGCTTCTGTTCACCTGATGAGCTCCTTGTGATGACTTCCCTTTAATTTAGATCAACTGTAGTGGAACAGAAAAATGTTATTTGAAGACATGAAAAAATGGGCTTCACTAAAGCAGGCCATGGTTCTCACCTGTGGGGCTGTCTCAGGAAATAAACCTTCTGTAGTAAGCATAAAAGTAGATACATGAATACATGCTTAGAGGCTGTTTCCCCAGGTCTGAGAATATCTGTCAGCATCTTAGATACTCTCCAGTTTCTGGAACATCTGTTTCTCTGAAAAACCTGCCTGAGAGAAAGACTCACAAGGAGTAATACAAGGAAGACAGATGCCAAGGGTTCATTTAACTGTTCCAGAAAATCTTGGTTAATCTGAGATTGGGTTCTCTTCCCATCCTATGATTTTTGTTTTCTTATTCCTATTTCTTTATCTTTCCTGTTTCCCCACTTGTTTTCCTCCTGATCTTATGGGGGAGGGAAAGGAATAATTTTTTTGCAAAAAATACAGGTTTTTTAAGGTACAAAAATTATAGTTTCAAGCAGTAGAAACTCCTTTGTGACTTAGTCTCAAAACATGTGCTGAACCAGACATTGCAATGGATCTGTATCCATGATGAAAGGCCAGCAGACAATTTGCAGTGGTTCCCATGGCATGCAAGGCTGTTCTTGTATTAGGTTCTCTCTTAAGGAATGATTGTGTTGAACATCAGTCCAGAAATAGGGCAACACAAGACTTCCAGGGACATAACTTCCATTAGAATTCCATCAAGATAAACAAGTCCAGAAATTGTCTTTAGCATTTTCAGCACTTCAAGGTACTTAAAAAGGCAACACTTCCATGAGCACTGAACATGTCTTGTGGCACAGTACCATGAATCACGTGAGGTACTGTGCTCATGCCACACTCAAATACAGCAAATTAAAAATTTAGTATTCCTGCAGTAAGAAGCATCTGCATGTGAAGATATATCCCCATTTTCCTTTAGTTGCATGGGAGAGGGCTCATTACAGCAGACTTGCATTATTTTCTTTTCTAAAATCAGAGGCACTGTCTGTTGCTGGCACAGGTTTGTAATGCCCAAACTTTCTGTCCTATTTCAGCCGTCTAAAGAGCAACGTTGACGGGAAGTTCTTGGTGGATGGAGTACCCTTCAGCTGCTGCAACCCCAGCTCCCCACGGCCCTGCATCCAGTACCAGCTGACAAACAACAGTGCTCACTACAACTACGATTTCCTGACAGAGGAGCTCAATATCTGGGTGAAGGGGTGCAGAGAGGCCTTGCTGGATTACTACACTGCTATTATGAGATCCATTGGTATTGCAGCATTGCTTATTTGGTTGTTTGAGGTAAGTCTCATAGGAATGGTCTGTGTCAGATTAATCAGTCTTCCATCTTCCCACAATGGGAAACAACTACAGTGTAACATATGAGAAGTGCCTCAGCATTCAATATAAAGTCTACGAGAACTTCAGGTATGTTGCAGGACTTCCTTTAGTACAGACATCTTCCCAAAGTCCACAGAGCAGAAGCAAATCTCATTGAAGATGAAAACTATTAGAAATTACGTATATAATTCTGTATATTTACAGAGCTTTTCAATAGAGTAGAGCATATTCCCTTCTTTGGAGCATTTAGGAGATCAAATACAGGATGTTACATGCACTGACACAACTGCAAGGAAATTAGTTGAGAAGGTCTGAGGGTTGTTCCAAGTCACTCTGAACGAAGAATATACAAAATATAAGTAGTCTTTGACTCGATACATCAATGTTGTTTATAGCTAGAATTGAGCATAAATATTAATATCTCAAAGCCTCCTTTTCACATTATATAGCTTCATCACATGTACAGTACCTGTAAACATGGCACATCCTTGTAGATGTAGATTAGGCTGCTTATTATGCAATCAAAATAAACACATCACAGGCAAGCATGTACCTCTGCAAAGCTGCATCTTCCTGCTGGCATCTGTAGAGCTGTCTGGATGTTACCATCTGCAAGTAAAGGACACTCCAATGGCACAGGCTACAATACAGTTTTCTTACCTTTTAAATAAGTTTTAGTTTTCTGAATATTCCTCTACTGCAACAACGTTAACACTGTACTTAAAATAGCTCACCACAGTCCTCAAGCAGTGCTAGGTGGGGTTGTGGTGCTAGAAATACCAGGCCTCGGGCAGCATACGAAAAAGCTATGAGATGGCTCTTTGTGCTCCCTTAAATACTGAGCAGCTGGGCACTGTGATCTCGATTACGACAGAACAATGAAAGTGAGGCTTTTTCTTACACTTGTACTTGAGCCTCTGCTGTAGGTCATCCTTCTTAATTTTCATGCCTTGGCATGTGGGACACATAGGGCTTACATATGAATGATTAAACTTCTCGGAGGAAACAGCAATTTAATCAAGGTCAGTGGAAAAATTCCATAGAAATCAGCATACTACAATTTAATTGTTTCTTTCCCAGTGACTGATGGTTCCATTAATTGGTCATTTATTCCACATCAGTTAGTTGCAGTCTCTGTAGTGTTCCTGGGAAATGCTAGGTATTTATGTGCCAACAACATGCATACCTGAAGAATGAAGAATCAATCATTTTTCTTTCTCAAAAAATGTATTTAATTGGTAGACTGGTTATATATATTGCTGGGATAAAGAGTTTTTCTGCTTTACTCAATGTTAATTATGAGGCCTGTAAATACACAAATCAGAAAGCTGATTTAGTGGGTAGGATTGAGGCTGTAATTTCAAATCTCTGGTTAACCATAAACTGTTTCTTACAGCTCTCTGTACTCATTGGTGTTCGGTACCTACAAACAGCAATGAAGAATGTCCTTCTGCTAGGAGACCTGGATGGTGAATCGGATGGTTGGCTACTAGAGAACAGTTTTGTGGAAACTGCCAAATACAACATCAATATCATTAAGAACCTTGGCAAAGCCAACCAGATCTCCACTGTCTCAGGCATGAATGATCCCAACATCAATGTTCAAAACACAAACTGTGGCAAAACCAATGTTACAACAAAATCTATCCCAGCAGCTACGTAGGCAAATCTTTGAAGAAATGACATCAAAAGTGTAGCTTTGCTGCTACCAGATTTTTCACTGGTGAGGAAATTAAGGGTAGAAAAACTAGCAAGGCAATTGAACAAACCACAGACTGATGACAGCTCCAAAAATGCTGATACTTCTTTGGCTGGATGTATTTTAACTTGTGAAATCCCCAATTTTCAACACTGCACAAAACTTTTTCCCCACTTTCTCTCCTTTGCTTACAGATCCCTGTCATGGTCTGAATACATCAAAGTAACCATTATGCACATGCAAATGTTCCAGATAGGATGGGTCTATGTCTACTAACATACAGATTAGCCTAATGACAACAAAATTTGTCATTACACCTACAGAAATCCCAGCAGCAGAGAAATCCCAAAGGAAATTTTTGCACAGGATAAAGAGATTCTTTTAAAAAAAAAAAAAAAAAAAAAGAAAATACAAAAACTGTGAAATAAAACCTCTGTTAACCCAAATTAGAAGAGAGGAAATTTTAGCCCAAATGTGTATATACTGCAGCCCTTCTGAAAAGAATCTACTACCTAGGTGAAATTGAGTTGAAGGCAACGAAGGTTACCATAACGTGTTTTACTTTTTTGTCCTGAAATACTCCTACGTATCGTTTTGTTTTCCCACCCTCCATAGTTTAGAGAACTGTAGCTGCCATACTTCCCTGAAAGTCCCAAGGGTACTGCTGAAAGGAGTTCTCTGCTCAAGAAAACTAACTGACAGCTCATGTTGGGATATTTAAAATTCCAAGTAGCATGTGATAGCACAAGTTTAAAAACAAGCAGGACAATCCGTGAAACAAACACGGACAATCCCAGATGCTTAAAAGCTTCTCATTTCAAATGCACTTGCATTGATCCAGGGCAGGAAGGTAGGGGATTATTTGAAATCAATGAAGGCAGAGACAGACAGACATCTCTCCCACCACACTCCTAGGACAGCACTCAGGAAGTCTGTCAATGCAAGGAGTGAAAGCCTTCAACACCCAAGACACTTCTAGTAGTTACAGGATGCCCTGTGACTGTAGTAATCGTTAATAGTAAGCAAGAAAAACATACTAATAAAATATAGAGGATAAAAGACCAAATGAAATATTTTACTTGTTACTGCTGTAAATAATACATTGTTTGAATATGACTTTGGACAGCTTGTGCATTCTTTGTGTATAATCAAGTAAAAGAAG